TGTCCTGTTGCACATATTCTTGTGGGTGTCTGCGTGTAGATGCAGATGTGTGTGTGGAGGCCAGAGGTCTGCTGGGAGTGTCATCTTCTGGTCTCTCCATTTCTTGAGACAGTCACGCTGAACATCAGGCTCACCCCCTCCGCCCGCTTCTCCCACTGCTAGGGTTGCAGGCATGCCTGGCCTTTAGACAGTGCTAGGGGTTTGAAGTCAGGTCTTCAGGCTGATCCAGCAGTCACTTTACCACCCGAGCCATCCCCAGTCCCACCCCAGCCATTTTTTGGTTTACCATAAACTTTCCCCAGACCAAAATCAAAAGGGACAGGTGGATGTACATGTGTGGGGTGCAACTAATGGTTTTTCTCCTCCCTCCCTCCGGCAGGTGTACTCCGTTCCCATGGGGGGTATGATGGTAAGGCAGTCCTTTGCCATTGGAGGTTCTGGGAGCTCATATATCTATGGCTATGTTGATGCTACCTATCGGGAAGGCATGACCAAGGACGAATGTCTGCAATTCACCGCCAATGGTGAGAATTTGGGCTTCTGTGAACCTCAGCCCTTGTTACCCAAGCCGTGCCAAGATATCTTATTCCTTGCCACATTCTCAGCACCTAACTCTAAACCCAATTTCCTCCTTTTGTCTACAGCTCTCGCTTTGGCTATGGAACGAGATGGCTCCAGTGGAGGAGTGATCCGCTTGGCAGCCATTCAAGAATCGGGGGTAGAGCGGCAGGTACTTTTGGGAGACCAGATACCCAAATTCACCACTTCCACTTTACCACCCCCCTGAATCCTAGTGTTCTAGGGTGTCATAAAAGATATTCATACTGATGCAAAAGTTAATAAACAGTTTGTCAAAGAGATGTTTCTGTTTTGGGGTTCTTTACTTGACTTCAAGCTTGAACTTGTCAGGTCCATTCTCTTGTGCAAACTACTGCACTGTCACTGAGCTTGGTGGGAATTAGAGAGGTAATGAGGAAGGTTTAGAAATGCTCTGTTCTTCTATTATTACTACTATCATTGAGTTATCTTGGGTTGGTTAGTTTTTGAATTAATTTTTTATTGACTTTATGTGCGTTGGTGTTTTGTCTGCATATATGTTTATGTGAAGGTGTCGAATCCTGAGCAACTGGAGTTACAGACAGCTGTGAGCTGCTGTGTGGGTGCTGGGAATCGAACCCAGGTCCTCCGGAAGAGCAGTCAGCACTCAGAACCACTGAGCCAGCTCTCCAGCCCCTTTGTTTTTCTATTTTGAGACTAGATCTCTTATAGCTCAAGCTGACCTTGAACTCATGGCAGTCCTCCTGCCTTTGCTTCATGAGTGCCCAGGTCACAGCTGTGTACCAATATATTCTGAATCTTTCTGTAGATCGTATTCCCTCTACATTCCCGCTACTGAACGGTTGATATGGGGCCTGCAGCAACCTCCTAAGTCCAAGCTAAAACTCCCCCTAGCCTAGCCTCTTGGTCCCCTTTTTCTCTCTATCACTTAATCACACAGCAATGTGACTTCTTTGTCTTTGGGGAAAGAGTGGGCCTTGTATACAAGTGGAAATTAAGGTGGATGCTAGGTGGCAGAGGGCAGCCATAGGGAGTTCTTTTGGCCAGTCTGTAAGCCACCGTCCTCATTTGGCTGAGAATGGACTCCAGCCCCTTCAGAGCTGTCCCCATTCAAACCAAGGACCTAAAGGAACTCACAGGTGTTCAGTGACTCATCTCCCAGTCTTACTTTCTCTAGTCCATTGATCAGGGTACCATAGAAGCCACATTTACAGACCTTGTTCTGGAGTAGTTCAGAGGGCAGGAAGGACGGTTCCTATGGAATCTAAGAAAGGAAGGGAGAGGAAGCTAAAATACTCTCATGAGCAATCATGGCAGAGGGGACACGGTGTGCCCATGAGCAGGAAGCAGTGCCACAGGGCTCCCTCTCTTTTTATTTATTCTTGGACTCCAGCCCATGGAATGGGGCACCCTTACATTTAGGATGGATCTCTCCACCTCAGTTAACTAATCTGGAAACTCCTTCACAGAAGTGCCCAGAGGTCTGTTTTCCATGGTGATTCCAAACTCATCAAGTTGACAACATTACCATTACAAGGGGTAAGGTCCTAATTAAGTGGAAAGAGAAGAAAGGGATCTCTGACTCTAAACATTTAACTAAAATACTTTAGATTTTCATGCCCAAACCTGTTCTTCCTAAATTCTCTCTCTTGTACTTAACCTAACAGTTCAGCTCTAAAAACTTCCTGAAAGTGTGTAACCGACTCCGAGCCCCTCCCCTCATCCATGCCTGCCCTTATGCAATCCTTTAACTGTAGATCTTTGTAAATATGAGCCCATGTTGCTTCTCTGTGGCACAGTTCTCGAGATCAGGCCAGGTGTAGCACTCACCTTTTATACTAGGCTGAGGCAGATGGTTCTCTGAGTTTGGGGCCAGCCTGGTCTACATAGGGAGTTCAGAGTTATCCAGGGCTACCTAGTGAGACCCTCTTTCAAAACAATAACACCCCCCACCAAAAAAAAAAGACAAAAACACTCCTTAGGAAATTGCCATTCCACCTAGAATACTGGCTACTTAAACCTAGAAGACCAGACAGCTGCCCCGGCTTTGACACTAATCACTGGTGCTTTTTCTGTTTTCTAAATTTAGGGATTTTGTACTTAAATATTGGTGGGTGGATTTTGCTGTTTGTTTTTGTTCTGCAGTGCCGAGCATCTGAGAAAGGGCTCTGCAGTGCTAGACAAGTAATTTACAACCGGACTACATCTTCTGCCCCATGAATTTAAACAAGGTTTCTCTGTGTAGCCCAGGCTGCCCCTGAGCTTATGGTCCTTCCTCACCCTCCAGAGTGCTGGGGTTATAGGTGTGTGCTACAATGTCCAGATTGCCAAGTTTCCTGAAACTCACTCTGTAGACCAGGCTAGCCTCAAACTCAGACATCCGCCTACTTCTACCTCCCGAGTGCTGGGCACAAAGGTGTGCACCACCACCACCCAGCCCCAAGTTTCTTAAGACAGATTTCACTCTCAGACTGGCCTGGAACTCACTATGTAGCCCAGGCTATCCTGGAACTTGCGGCAACCCTCGTACCTCAGCCTCTCAGACTTTAGACAGGAGCCACTGTGCTTGGCAAAACTTTATTTTTAATAGAGTATTTTGAGGTTTGCTGCAGAATTAAGTTGAAGTTAAAGAGACTTCCTAAATACCACTTGCCTCCACACATGCACAGCCTCCCTCATTTATCAACATCTGACACCAGAGCCACACTGACCTGTTAGTCAGAGACCTGCATTGACATATTGTAGCTTTCCCCAGCTACATTACCCTGGTCTCAGCTCAGAGGTCTCCTTATCAGGAAGGCCTTTTCTGATATCTTAAAATGGAAGAAACATTCCTGACCCCTGACCCGTTCTCACATTACCCTGTCTAATTTTCCTCCTAATTGTTATCTCCTGTTGGCCTGCTTGCTTTTTTACTCATCTACTGTCGCTACCAGAAAGTCAACTCAGGAAAAGAAGGAATTCTTCCTGATTCATTGATAGATCATTGTCACTGACCAGCAGGGAGTAGACAATTTCATACATTTATACATTATACCTTGATTGTATCCATTCCTCAGTGCCCCTTCTTTCTCATCTCTGGATCCTCCCCCAACATGTCTCTCTTCCATTTTCATGTCGTATGTATCGATACCCATCTAGATATAGATGAATGGATGGACGGATGGATGGATGGACGGACGGACGGACGCACGCACGCACGCCACTGAGTCCAGTTAGTGCTGCCTGAATGCACACGGGTATGGAGCCATCCACTAGAGCATGGCTAACATACCAGGGGCCACACGTCAAGAAAAACTGACTCCCTGGCAGCCAACAACTGCCCATGGCTCCTCAGCTAGGGTGGGGACTCGGAGCTCCTCTTCCATCCTTGCTGAAATTTTGACTGGGTTCATGAGTTCAAAGACCAGGCCACCTAAAAGCATTTCTCAGCATTCCTTCCCATTCTTCATCTCTTGCATGCTTTTCACTCCCTCTTCTCACTTAAAATTTTTGAAGGTTTTAGTGTGTGTGTGTGTGTGTGTGTGTGTGTGTGTGTGTGTGTGTGTGTGTGCACACGTGGTGTGTGTGCTCTCGTGTGTTCATGACACAGCACACATGTAGAAGTCTGAGGACAACTCTCTGGAATTGATTCTCTTCTACCCTGTTAAGGCAAGGTCTAGCTTGTTTCTTCCTATGCTTTGTACTGTCTCCACCTCCCGTCTCTCTAGGAGTGCTGTGCTGGGATTACAGCTGTGCTTTGGGTATCTGGCTTTTTACAAGGGTTCCAGTGATCAAACCCAGATCTTAAGGCTTTATGCAGCAAGCATCTTTACCCACTGAGTCTTCTCCCAGCCAACACTAGATAATAAATTCTTTAGCTGGGTGGTGGTGGTGGTGGTGGTGGTGGCGGCGGCGGCGGTGGCGCATGTCTTTAATCCCAGCATTTGGGAGGCAGAGACAGGCAGATCTCTGTGAGTTCAAGGCCAGCCTGGTCTACAGAGCAAGTTCCAGGATTGCCAAGGCTACACAGAGAAACCCTGTCTCAAAAACAAAGCAAAACTTAATTCTGTTTCCTGTCTTGCCCAGCCCCCAACTTCCCCCAGCCCACTTTCCCCACACTCAACTCCGACGCCTCATTTCAGTAAACTTAACTTTCCCATTGACTATACCTGGGATCTGCCTCAGATACACCACCCCCGTTTGATACACACTTCCCACCTCAGACTTGTTTGTACCGCAGACCTAGTATAGCCGTCCCAGTCAGCCCTACCCGACACTCAAACACGACACTTTGCAACTCTGGACACGTTTAATGAGGTCATGACAGACTTGGGACCACCGAGAAATGTGACAGAAGGTTGCCAAGACTTCCTGGAGTAAAGTGTAGCCCCTGGTGGTCCCTTTCAAATGGTAGAGTCGTTGGCGGAGGCCACGTCATGCAGCTGGTGGCGGAAGGAGAGCCGAGCTTTCCGGCTTAAGTAGGCACCGGCCCCTGGAGAGGACAGTCCTCCAGCCACAGTGGGGGTTACAGCTGGGCTGGGATCAGGCGGGGAAGCAGGTTCCAGGCCTAAAGAGGACAATCAGAAGAGGAAGGAGGGTTGGAGGGGGAAGGTCAGGGTTTAACTCCCCTATGCCTCCCATCATGGCCATAGAGGAGAGGTGACAGAAGAGAGTGAGACTGAGGGGTGTTGGTGACAGCACCCAGGCTGTGGAGAGGGAGCGTCTAAAGTGGGGACAGCTCCCCCAGGATATGGTTGAGCTGTTGTAGACACCCCTCCAAATCCCTCTCCTGCTCGAAAGCACCCCAGTGCTTGAGGCAGTAGTACTCTGCTGCCACCATCTTGAAATCCTTATGCTTTCACCACTGGCTTCCATCTTCCTGTTTTGCAGTAGTCTCTGCGAAATCTTCAGATGGCCCTGAAGAGACGCGAGAAATCTGCCTCCCACCTAGGCAACAGAATCCTTTTCCTTCCCTGGTTTGAGGGTTTATCTTTCCCCCCCAATTCATGTCAATCAGCCTTTTCTTCCCCCATACCTGTTCCTCCTTCAGTCCCCCGCTGTCTCCGGCACCCACACCATGGGAAACACCAAGCCCCCTTCAGACCCATCTCAATAGTGGAGACTGGGACGTTGGGAAGGGCCAGGAGGGCCCCAGGGGGAGGGGTGTGGTTTTCAAGTCCCCCCACCGTGGGCAAAACTACCACTTAGCCTCAGACCGCCTGGTGATTATAGGCGCCGGGAGATAGAAGGAGGGAAAGAGGGAGGGAGGAAAGGGTGGTGGACTACCCCGTTCAAATACTTGTATTTGGTGCCCTCTTGATTTGGGGGTTCTTTTACCCCCATGCAAATGGAGGAGGTTGGGAGAGATTTCATGACAGAGGCAGGCAGAGGGGTGCCGTGACAGTGAAAATTCAGTAGAGCAATACCCCTCAACTTGGAGTCATGCTGGACACTGCTGGGATGGGAATCTGTTTTGTTTTGAATGTTTGGTATTGGTAACAGAGCCCAGGGCCTCCTGTATGGGTGAGGGCTCGGTCGCTAAGCTATCCCCTCCCCACCACCATTTCTTTTCTTTTTAACGTTTATTTTAGGATGCAAATTCGAAGTGGCCAAGGTATACAAATTTAAAGAATACTAAGTTTTTAGCATGAGAAACTTTATCCAGAGAAAGAAATGTGTTCTCACTAAGTCTGATAACGCTTTGTTTTTTGTTTTGAGACAGTCTCACAATGTGACTCAGACTAGCCTGGAACTCTTGGTGATTCTCCTGCCTCAGTCTCTCAGTGCTGGGATCACAGGCATACACCACCAGCCCCAGCTGGTCTGGTGACTTGTCCCTGTTTGCTATTTGCTGTGATTGTTTTACAGTGTGGATCCCATAGTATTGCCCAAGGCTATCCCAACAGTAGGTGAGGGCTCTGTCACTAGTGAACTTCTGAGGTGCTGTTACTATCCTGATTTTACAGATGAGGAAAGGGGGGTCACTAAGAGATGGGTAACTTGCCCGAGGTCGTGCAGGCAGTTACCCAGAACTGGATAGATGCCTCTTCAGCCCCACCCTAAGTTGGCCTTACTCCAGATCTGACTTGTTAACTCTGCACTTGTCAAGTGTGTCACTTAGGCCCTGATGTCCTTAGCTAGGGGTCAGGGTGTGGGGCAGGACCCAGGCTGGGAACTTCAGGTGCTCAGCACTATGACCAAGTACCCTGTGTAGAGCTGCTCACGGTCCACGTCATCATTCCCTGAGGGTGCCCCCAGCAGGAGATGGTCAGAAGCCCTGCTGGTCGCTCTGTACTGAGAAGTCAGTGGGCTGTGTTGCTTACTTTTTGTTTGAGTTTTGCAGTGTTGGGGATGAAACCCAGAGCCTCTTATGTGCTTGGAAAGCTCTCTAGCCCTGAGCAAAATCCCAGCAATTTTTTGATTTGGGGGAGTGGTGTGTTGTTTTTTGAGGGAGGGTTGTGTTGTTGTTTTTCTCTTGTTGGGGGGCCTGCCACCCAGCTCCCAAATAAACCATTCCTGGAGGCTTATGAATGCCCGGCCTTAGCTTGGCTTCTTTCTTGCCAGCTTTCCTTATCTTATCCCATCTACCTTTTGCCTCTGGGCTTTCCCCATGCTCTTACTTCTGTAAATCTTTCTCTTACTCCGTGTGCTGTGTAGCTGGGTGGCTAACCCCTGGAGTCCTCCTCCTTCTCTGGCTCCTTGATCTCCTTCTCCCAGATTTCTTCCTCTATATATTCTCTCTGCCTGCCAGCCCCCGCCTATCCTTTCTCCTGCCTTGCTATTGGCCGTTCAGTTCTTTATTAGCCCATCAGGTGTGTTAGACAGGCACAGTAACACAGCTTCACAGAGTTAAACAAATGCAACATGAACAAAATATTCTACAGTAGGGTTACATGCCGCTGGCCTCAAACCCTCTATGTCGTCAAGGCTGGCCTTGAACTCCTGCTATTCTGCCTCTGTCTCCCAAGTGCTGCTATTATAGGTGAGGGCTACCACACTTGGGTTTTGCCTTTTGGTTTTTTTTTTTTTTTTTTTTTTTTTTTTTTTTTTTTTATATTTATTATGCATACAGTGTTCTGCCTGCATACATCCCTGCAGGCCAGAAGAGGGCACCAGATCTCATTGCAGATGGTTGTGAGCCACCATGTGGTTGCTGGGAATTGAACTCAGGACCTTTGGAAGAGTAGTCAGTGCTCTTAACCTCTGAGCCATCTCTCCAGCCCCCTGGTTTTGTTTTGAGCTGGCAGTGGTGGTGCATCCCTGAAATTTTAGCAATACTCAAGAGACTGAAGCAGGAGGATAGCTACTTCAAGTTCAGCCTGAACTATACAGTGAGACCTTCCTCCGAACCCCTGAAAAAGTACCTTATTGAAACAAGCGTGTTCATTAGTTTTTTTTGTCAACATTGACACAAGCTGGAGTCATTTGGGAAGAAGGGACCTCAATTGAGAAAATGCTCCCCATCCGATTGGCCTATAGGCAAGCCTGGGGCGGGGGGAGGGGGGGTGTTCTTGATTGGTGATTGATGTGGGAGGTCCTGGGCAAGTGGTCCTGGGATACAGAAGGAAGTAAACCGAGCAGAGCAGAGGAGCAAGCCAGGTAACAGTGTTACTTCTTGACTTTTGCTTCGGATCCTACCTTGAGTTTCCATCAGTGGACCTTGACCTGGGATACCCGAGCCAAATCAAAGTTCCTTTTTGTTTTATTTGAGTCGAGGTCTATCTATGTAGCCCTGGCTGTCCCGGAATTCACGATGTAGACCAGGCTGGCCTCAGACACACAGAGATCCTCCTGCCTCTGCCTTCTGAGTCCTGGAATAAAAGATGTGTGTCACCATGGCAGCCCAAGTTGTTTATGGTCTTTATCATATTAACAGACACTAAGTATGTACATCTTGAACACCTATATCACACCATATAGCTCCATTGAGTTTTGCAATCAGACATTTCTCGTGTGTGTGTGTGTGTGTGTGTGTGTGTGTGTGTGTGTGTGTGTACGGGGGGGGAAGGGTTATAAGTGTAGGTGTACATGCATGTGTACGCAGAGGCAAGGGGTTAACATCAGGTGACTTCCTCTATCATTCTCCATCTTTTTTTTTTTTTTTTTTTTTTTTTTTTTTTTTGAGACAGGATTTCTCTGTGTAGCTTTGGTGCCTTTCTTGGAACTCACTCTGTAGCCCAGGCTGGCCTCAAACTCAAAGAGATCTGCCTGGATCTACATCCTGAGTGCTGGAATCAAAGGCGTGCACCACCACCGCCTGGCTCTCCATCTTATTTTTAAATTACACTTTAAATTTATTTTGTGTGTGTGTGTGTGTGTGTGTGTGTGTGTGTGTGTATGTGTGCCACAGCATAGCATGTGTGGATGTCAGAAATCAACTTGCTGGAGTCAGTGCTCTTCTAATACCACGTGGGCCCCAGGAATTCACCTCAGGTGGTCAGACTTGGTAGCAGGGCCCCAGGGGTTCACCTCAGGTGGTCACACTTGGTAGCAGGGCCCCAGGGGTTCACCTCAGGTGGTCAGACTTGGTAGCAGGGCCCCAGGAGTTGAACTCAGGTGGTCAGACTTGGTAGCAGGGCCCCAGGGGTTCACCTCAGGTGGTCACACTTGGTAGTGTTTACCCTTTGAACCATCTCACTACCACCCCCCCCCTTAGTCTTCGAGAGAAGAAGGGTCTTTACTGAACTTAGATCGCCAGAGACCCACCTGTCTCTATCCCCTGGAGTGCTGGGGTTGCCAGCCACCATGCCCGGTTTGTGTATGTGAGGGTTTGGTAAGTGTGTACACTCACCTGACATCTCTCCAGTCCCCAGCCTGGCTCTTGTGTGGATCCTGGGGCTCTGAACTCGGGTTCTCACACTTGGACACCAAGCACTTTATCTATCGACTCATCTCCCCAGCCCTGGAACACATTTTCTATCACTCTAAGAATTCCCCTTATAAAAAGCCCCTTTTAGGCAATCTCTTCTCATGCCTTGCCTCAGGCAACTACTTATCTGATTTCCATTACTGTCAGTTGTTTTTGTCTGTTTCAGAACTTTGTATAAATGTAATCATACTGCATTACTCTTTTGTGTCTAGTTTCTTTCAGCATCATGGTTTATCGATAGTAACAATTTATGTGGTTTATAGTTTATTGCAATGTACTTCAGAACATACATGAAGTTCACCCTTTTAAGACACAATTCCATGGTGGTTTTTGCTATATTCACAGAGTTACATAACCATCACAACTAATTTTAGATTTTTCCATTACCCTCAAGAAACCCTTGTACTCATTAGAAATCATTCCCCATTCCTCCTTCTCCCTACTCCGACAGCCACTAATCTACTTCCTGTTTCTGTGGACTGTTTTTTTTTTATTCTGAACATTCCATATTGTGATGGTTAGCTAATTTTTTTAGGTCAACCTATCGACTAACTATATTGACAAGATACTTGTTGGCTATATGTTGAAGAGACATATAATACAAAAGACAGGAAAAGCTGGTCCATCCCTTTCCTCTTTCCTCCCTATCCCCCCCAATACTCCTCTTTGTGATTTGGTCAGAACAGGGCTTAGAGTGGTGATGGATAATTTGATTGTCAACCTTTTTTCCCTTGAGACAGGGTTTCTTTATGTAGCCCTAGCTGTCTTTTTTTTTTTTTTTTTTTTTTAATTTTCTGGAGCTGAGGCCCGAACCCAGGGCCTTGTGCTTGTTAGGCAAGCGCTCTACCACTGAGCTAAATCCCCAACCCCACCCTAGCTGTCTAGAACCAGCTCTGTAAGCCTTGAACTCACAGATCCGCCTGCCTCTGCCTCTGGGATTGAAGGCGTTCACCACCGCCACGGCCACGGCTGCCAGGCTTGAGTGTCAACTTGATTAGATTAAAAACCACCTAGGCAGGGCTGAAGAGACGGCTCAGCAGTTAGAAGCACTGACTGCTCTTACAGAAGTCCTGGGTACCCACATAGCAGTTCACAGGTCCCTATAACTCCCATTCCAGGGCCTCTGACGCCCTCTTCTGACCTCCTTGGGTTCCTGCATGCACATGTGTGTGTGTGTGTGTGTGTGTGTGTGTGTGTGTGTGTGTGTACATTACATCATCACACACACACACACACACACACACACACACACAAAATTTAAAAAAAAACAACTTGCCGGGTAGTGGTGTCGCACGCCTTTAATCCCAGCATTCAGGAGGCAGAGGCAGGCAGATCTCTGTGAGTTCTAGGCCAGCCTGCTCTACACATCAAGCTGTAGATCATCTTCTATAAACAGCAGCAGCAGCAGCAACAACAACAAAACACATAATTCATGGATGAGCATACTTTTGGCCAAGTCTGTGAAGATGTTTCCAGAGAGGAAGGTTGTTTGGTTTCTTGAGATAGGACCTCCCTCTGTAGCCCAGGCTAGCCTCAAACTCATAATGACCCTCAGCTGCCTCAGCTGGGAATACAAGTGTGAATCACAATTCCTGCTATCTAGACACATTGAGCGAAGAAGAAAGACGCGTCCTGAGTGTGGATGGTACTGTCCCATGTGCTAGGGTCCCAGAATGAATAGAAAGAGAAACAAGAAGAAGCCACCTTAGCACCAATATTCACCTTTCTCCACTTCCGGGTCCCCCGTGAGCAAGCAGGCTGCTGCTACAGCCTTTCTTCTGTGGTGGACATTTTCCCTTAAACCATGAGACAAAACAAAAATAATCAAAGCCCTCCAGTAAATTGCTCTCTGCCTGAGATTTGATCCCATCAAGGAGAAAGTAACTAATGTACTGTGGAGTCTTACAATATGTGGCTTTTTGTCCATCTTATTTTTTTTTAAACATGATTATTTATGTATTTTATCTTTATGGGTACTTTGTCTGCATATACATCTGCACAGCAAATGAGGGCATAAGACAGCTGTGAGCTGCCATGTGGGTGCTGGGAATTGAACCCAAGACCTTTGGAAGAGCAGTGAGTGCTCTTAACCACTGAGCCATTTCTCCAGCCCGTTTTTTGTCCATCTTATTTTACTTAGCTCACTGTTTTCAGAGTTCCTCCGTGTTGAGAGTACACGCATCAGTACATAGCTTCTCTTTATGGCTGAATGGTATGGTATATGGCTATATCTTCATCGGCTGACGTACATTTGTCTCCTTTTCACTTCCTGCCTCTTAGGAATAATGCTGCTATGAGCATTTGAGTATATATTTTTCTGTGGATATATATTTTTTAACTTTAAAAAATATACATACATGGGACTGGAGAGATGGGTCAGTGGTTAAAAGCATGGACTGTTCTTCTAGAGGACACAGGTTCAAGTCCCAGCAACCACATGGCAGCTCACAAGTGTCTGTAACTCTAGTTCCAGGGGATTTGACATCCTTACACAGACATACACACAGGCAAAACACCAATGAACATAAAATAAAAATAAATTTAAAAAATATACATGGGGGAGAGAAAGAGAGAGGGGGAGGGGAAGGGAGAGGGGGGGAGAGAGAGAGAGAGAGAGAGAGAGAGAGAGAGAGAGAGAGAGAGAGAGAATGAGAGAATGCATACCTTTAATACCAGCATTCTGGAGGCAAAGGCACCAGATCTCTTGTGAGGCCAGCCTTGTCTATATAGTGATTTCCAGGCCATCTGGGACTATATAGAGCAGTGTTTCTCAGCCTTCCAAATGTTGCAACCATTTATACAGGTTCTCATGTTGTGGTGACCCCCAACCATAACATTATTTTCATTGCCACTTCATAACTAATTTGCTACTGTTATGAATTGTAATGTAAATATCTATGTTTTCTCATGGTCTTGCAAAGACCCCCAAAGAGGTTTCGACCCAAAGGTTGAGAACCACTGATATAGAGATCCTGTCGAATATGTATGTATGTATGTATGGTTTTTAATATTAGAAAAAATGAACAGATATTTAAGCATATGAAATACAGTTAAGATCATTAATATTCAGAGATGTACAATTTTTTTTGGAGAGAGGATTTCTCTGTGTTAACGACCTTTGGCTGTCCTAGAACCAGCCTGGCCTCGAACTCACAAAGATCTGCCTGCTTCTGCCTCTTGAGTGCTGAGATTAAAGGCATGTGCCATCACGCCAGACCAGAGATGTACTATTAAGATTGCAATGCCAACCAGGCGGTGTGGCCCACACCTTTGATCCCAGTACTTGGGAGGCATAGCCAGGCGGATCTCTGTGAGTTTGAGGCCAGCCTGGTCTACAGAACGAGATCCAGGACAGGAAACAAAACTACACCGAGAAACCCTGTCTTGAGAAAAAAAAAAAGATTGCAATGCCACACCTTTCACACCACTTGATGGACCTACAGCGTTGGGTGTGCACCGTACTATGGAGTAACTATAATAGAAGTACCATGCACTGGTTTTTAGAAATGTAAAATAGACCTGGCTGTGGTGGCACACAACTTTAATCCTGGCACCTGGGAGGCAGAGGCAGGCAACTCTGAGTTGAAGGCCAGCCTGGGATACATGTACAGAGAAATCTTGTCTTGAAAAAAAAATTAAAAATTTTTAAAAATGTAAAAATAAAAGTAAAATAGAAGAGCCATTTTGGTAAGGGTTTTTAACTTAATTTTTCTTTATTTTTATTTTGTGTGTGTGCATGTTTTGTGTATGTGCAGTGTCCATGGTGGCAAGAAGAGGGCATTAGACCCTCTAGAACTGGAGTTACCTCTATTTGTGGGCAGCCTTGTGGGCGCTGGGAATCGAACCTCTGTCCTCAGCCAGCGCCTTGAAGCACAGAGCCGGCTCTGCAGCCCCTGGTTTTGTCTTTTGGCAGTGCTTTTCTGGGTAGCCTCAGCTGGCCTCCACCCCCAAGCTTTACAATCCTCTTGCAACATTCTCTTTGCTGCTGGGCGACAAACTGCCAAGCCCAGGTCGTGACAGTCTCCTGTAAGTTAAACATCCACTTATATGACCCAGTACTTCCACTTTAGTTATTTACAAAAGAGAAATTAAAACGTAAAGTCCACAAAAATGACTGGTACATGAATGTTCGTGGCCGCTTCATTTCCAGTGGACAAAAAAACCCGAAAACAACTCAAATGTTTATCAATGGAAATTTAGAAGAAAAGAAGGAAGGAAAACGACCTTTAGGATCTGGGGGGAAAAAAGTTTTTTCTAGACTGGCGCTGACAGGTAAGTAGGTTCTGAGGCTGATCTGTTACAGTACCTCAGCGTCTGGCTAATCCCTACTGAGCGACAAATGTTCTGTGAATGAAGAATGCGATTTCTCATACAGCAACGATCTTGGAGTCATCATCCTTCTGGTGTTTTATTCTCTTATTACCTCCCATCAACAAATGCCATCTGTACCGGGCTCAGCAAGAGCACACCGGCAGGTCCTCGCCACGGTGGCCGGTTCCGCCCTGATTCCAGGCAGCGCTGGAGACCGGACGACCCAAGGCCGGCTCGCGCGCGCGCAGTAGAGGAATGTGCGCACGGTGGATCGCACACTAAGGGTGCCGGATCTTGAAAGCCTTGTGCCCCGAGGGCATCCAGAGGGAGAGGACGGCCCTGGGGAGTGGGCGGCCCCGGGAGTGGGCGGGCCGGGCCGGGGCGTCCGTAGCGCAGGGCTGCCGGAGGGCGGTGGGGGCGGAACGCGGCTGACGCGACACCGGCGGAGGAGAGGCCGGGGGCCCGGCCCGCCCCCGAGGGCAGGCCCCGAGCCCCGGCCCCGCCCCGGCCTTCTGGGGTGTGGGCTCCTCGCTGAGCTCTGCTCCCCGGGCTTGCGAACCCGCGCGGGTGCGGGCACCCGCAGCCAGGGTGAGGGGCCGGGGACGTGGCGCGGCTGAGCTCGGGGACCGGGTCCGGCTGGAGCTGCTCCGCCTTCTGACTTCGGGACACCCAGATTTCGGGATTTCTCTCCTGGGCGGGGAGCGCGCCCTAACTTCCTCATTCCCGCCGGGACCCTAGCTTCCAGCCCATCTGGCCTGACTTTGAGCCCCGCTGTCACCCGGATTCCTCCCTTGGACTTACATCGCCCCAGTTCGAGGCCATCCCAGCTTGGCTAGGTGCTTCTTGGACCTTGGATATGGAATGAGAGGCGGGGCTGTTGGGCTCTGGTTGAAGGACTGCGGGAGGGACTGGGGGTTGCAGGGAGTGGAGGTTAGAGGGGCGTCGGGCTGCTACTATAGAAGTTGGGAGTCAGCTGAATGAGACGGGTGAGGACGGGGGCGTTAGGATGGGGAAAGGGGTGTTCCTGTATGGGCGAGTCCCTTTCTGAGGCTTCCTCATATTCCTAGGATGACTGCAACCCCGGAGAACCTCTTTCCCTATGGGGACTACCTGGACTCCAGCCAGTTACACATGGAGCCAGATGAGGTTGACACTCTGAGGGAAGGAGAGGATCCAGGTACATTTGGAGATTGGCCCCCAGGGAGGGGAGGATAGGGATCTGGGGCCTCTTAAGAGCTATACCCTTGGGCCTTTTTTTTTTCCCCTCCCAGCTGATCGAATGCACCCCTTTCTGGCCATCTACGACCTTCAGCCTCTGAAAGTGCACCCGTTGGTGTTTGCTCCTGGAGTTCCGGTTACAGCCCAGGTGGTGGGCACCGAAAGATACGCCAGTGGATCCAAGGTGGCTGGGCTGGTACCAGGGAGGGTGGGAGACGGGAGGTCTGGCCAAAGTGGAGGGATGGGTTGGGCCGGAAGACCCGGAAGACATGACTTTGGGAATTCTCATACCCCAGGTGGGAACCTGTACTCTATATTCTGTCCGCCTGACTCATGGTGACTTCAGCTGGACAACCAAGAAGAAATTCCGACATTTTCAGGAGCTGCATCGGGACCTCCAGAGACACAAAGTCTTAATGAGTCTGCTCCCTCTGGCCCGGTGAGTGGGACTAGACTGCTTCCTGTGTAAGGCAGATATTCCTCACCCCATGGCGGCCTTCACTCCAGTCTGCCAGTCTCAACTCCAGCTTACCGAAACCTTTTCTCCCCCAAGGCATTTTCCCTCCCCCTGCTCTGTGCTGGGCCCCCTCCCTGGACCCTGGTTCCCAGGAAACTTTCCCTGCCTGGTTCTCTCTGTCCATCGTACTGTGCCAGCGTTTCAGCCAGGCGGGATGCCCAAAATGTCCTTGGCAACACCCCACCCCACTTGCTTCCGTTCCCAGGATAGAGACCCCTTCTTCTGCCAGCCTTTCTCCCACTCCAAGGCCCCGTCTCCAGGGTGTCAGGCACTAGCCTGCGGGCCCTTCCCTGAGCCTTCTCTCATCTCTGTAGCTTTGCCGTGGCCTATTCTCCAGCCAGAGAGGCAGCCAATGAGGACATTCCCTCCCTACCCCGAGGAGGTTCTGAGGGCTCCACCAGACACACAGCCAGCAAGCAGGTATGACCCAACACCAGGTCCTATAGCAGAATGTGTCGCATGCACAAAGCTCTGGCTTCATCTGTTTCTTTCCCTTCCCATTCAGAAATACCTGGAAAATTACCTAAATCGCCTCCTGACCATGTCTTTTTACCGAAATTACCATGCCATGGTAAGGTCCAGGGTCTAGGGTCTAGATGCTTGGGTGTTGGGTGTGTGAGTCCCCGCCCCCAATAACACAAGGTCTTACTGTGTAACACTGGCTGGCCTGGCACTAACTCTGTAGACCAGGCTGGCTTTGAACTGACAGAGATCTACCTGCCTCTGCCTCACAAGTGCTGGGAGTAAAAGCATGTGCCATCATGTCCTAGGATGCCTGGGCTTTTTAAAGTAGATGAGGATCTTCGGATCCCCAGGGGACAAAGGGGTAGAGTTAGTAGGGCTGAGGGGCTGAAAGCCAAGTCTCCCCCTGAGCTTATTTCTTCCTCTACAGACGGAATTTCTAGAAGTCAGTCAACTTTCCTTTATCCCAGACCTCGGCTCCAAAGGACTGTGAGTGTGGGAACCCCTTGCCCAGCCTCCTTCAGGCATCACTCCCCATCTACCTGCTTGAAAAACTAAACACGTAGTACAGGTGTCTAGAGTCCCCAGCTCTCCTGATTGTCCCCATAGGGAAGGGGTGATCCGGAAGCGCTCAGGCGGGCATCGAGTTCCTGGCTTTACCTGCTGTGGCCGAGACCAAGTTTGTTATCAGTGGTCCAAGAGGTGAGGGCTGGAGCTGAGCAGGGATCAGTGGACAGGTGAAGAGGGAGGTCTGGAGGACCTGAAGCGTCTACACAGCCCTTCTCCTCCAGGTGGCTGGTGGTGAAGGACTCCTTCCTGCTGTACATGCGCCTGGAGACCGGCACCATCTCATTTGTTCAGCTCTTCGACCCCGGCTTTGAGGTGCAGGTGGGGAAAAGGAGCACAGAGGCGCGGTATGGGGTGAGGATCAACACCTCCCACAGGTAAGGCCTCCCGGTGTGAGAGCCTTCTGTGGCCTTGAGGGGAGGTGAGCTGGAGACACCATGGGGGAGAGGAAGGCTCTTCAGTCCTCCATGCCCTGGTCCAGCCAGAGCTTTGAATCAGGGAACTGGTCTATCCATATATTTAGGATAGTCCCAGAGTAAGGGCCTGTAGTGCAGGGGCTTGGACTAAATGGGGATGGGGTGGAGGCTGGAGAGAGAAGAGAGAGCAGTATTCTTGCAGAGGCCCCAAGTTCTGTTCCTTGCACCCATGTAGGATGGCATATGCCCACTGGTAACTCCAGCTCCAGGGAGGCTGATGCTCTCTTTTGGATTCTGTGGGCATCTTCACTCACACTTGCACACACACACACACACACACACACACACACACACACACACACTAAAAACTTGTAAAAAAAAAAAAAAAAAGGAGCCGGACATGGTAGTGCACACCTGTAATCCCAGCCCTTGGGAGGCTGAGCCAGGAGGATTGGCCCTGCAGAGCCTGAGCTCTGTAGTGAAGCTCTGCCTTAAAAAGGGAGAGAATTTGCCACGCGGTGGTGGCACATGCCCTTAATCCCAGCATTCGGGAGGCAGAGGCAGGCGGATCACTGTGATACCCGGATAGGCAGGACTGTTTCACAGAGAAACCCTGTCCTGAAAAACTTAAAAAAAAAAAAAAAAAAAGAAGAAGGGAGAGAGGGAGGGAGGGAAGGAAGAAGGGAGGGAGAGAGAGAAGGAAACTAAATTCCATTTGTTCATTCAACAATGTTGTTGTTGAATGAGTGCCTAACTGGGAACCCAACTATGAATAACACAGATATCCACACTATGTCTGTGGACTGCAGCTTAGGGGCTAATGGGGGAATTAAGAGAAGGTAATAGTCCAGAGGGGGAGTCTCTGGGCAGGACTGTCGGCTGAAGGAGAGGGATTAGTAGTACAGCTTCTGTTTCTGTCCAGGTCCCTGATTCTCAAATGCGGCAGCTACCGGCAGGCACGGTGGTGGGGCCAGGAGATCACGGAGCTGGCACAGGGTCCAGGCAGAGATTTTCTTCAGCTCCATCGGCATGACAGCTATGCCCCACCCCGGCCCGGCACCATGGCCCGGTGGTGAGACCCTGATGTCCTTTTTGGGCTTCTGTGTGGCTTTCTTTGGTATTCTCTGAGTTCATGATCCTCCCTTTTATCTCCTCTGACCTCATGACCCTACTTTTGTATCTCTCATCTCTCTGACCCCTGAACCCCCTTAACCACATTGATTTGTCTGCTTCCCCTTGATCTTCTAACTTGGCCCTCGCCTCTGTCCTCTTACCTCCCTGATTCTTAGGAGCATGTTAACCCCAGGAAGCTCCCCTCCCAAATCGTTTTGATTTGTTCTATCCCTTAAATACTTAATAAGCATTTAAATCTTAAGCACTTGCTATGTGCTCCGTCCGGTACTGGCAATAAGACACAGGCTTCTCTGGTTTAGGGAGGGAGGTGATCTAATGATAAAACAATGTGAACTCACCACATGGGTGGTAGATGTAGGGAAGGGTGTACAGAGGGGAGCACCTGCCCCAGGAAGGCTGTGAGGACAGGCTTCCAGAAGGCATAGCCCTCAGGTTTCTTTAGTAAGATACAGTGCAGAAGAGCGGTCCAGGCTGAAGGCCCGGAAGCTGGATGTGTTGGTGAAGAGGGGGACTGATCACAGCTGAAGAGCGGGGGTGGGGGTGGGGGTGGGGGGGGTGGGGGGGGTGGGGGCGGGGTGTGCAGTCAGAACCTGTGAGTCCGTAGCTCCAGATCTGAGTCCAGCATGCTCAGCCAGGAGGTTGAACTTCTTCATAGGCAAAAGTGGGCGTGAGAGGAAATTTTTCTTAGAAGTGGTGTTGAGGTTTTATTTTTTTATTTAATTGCCTTACTTTTGCAGTATTGGGGATTAAACCTGGGGTGCTACATATGCTAGGCAAGCATTCTACCACTAAGCTAAAGTGTATGTGTGTGTGTGTGTGTGTGTGTGTGTGTAAATCAGAGATTGACCTTCGGTGTCTTCCTCTATCATTCTCCATTTTTTTTTTTTTTTTTTTTTTTTGGTTTTTCGAGACAGGGTTTCTCTGTGTAGCTTTGCGCCTTTTCATTCTCCATTTTTAAAAGTTTGATTTTATTATTTTGTGTGTGGGTGTTTTGTGTGCATGTATAGCTGGGCACCACATACATGCAGTGTGCCCTAGAGGCTAGACAAAGGCGTGGGACCCCCTGGAACTGGAGTTATGGATGGTTGTGAGCCACCATATGGGTGCTGGGAATCAAACTTGGGTCTTCTGCAAGAACAAGTGCTCTTAACCATTGCACCATGTCTGCAGCACCTCCATTTTAATTTTGAGACAGTGTCTCTCATTGAACCTGGAGCTGATTTGGCTAGACTGGCCAGGCAGCAAGCCCCTAAGATCTGCCAGTCTGTAGCTCTGCCCCAGCACTGGATTTATAGACATGCACTGCTCTGCCTGGCTTTCTTATTTTGGTGCTGAGGATCTGAACTCAGGTCATCATGCTCGCACAGCAAGCCCCTTAAGCCATTGAACCCAGCACCCCGTTACCTTTTTCTTTTCTTGTTTGTTGGTGTGTGTATGTCTGGTGTGTGTGTACATGTTAGTGTGTGCAGGTGTGTGGGAACAAGTGTACATGTGCACGTGAAAACCTGAGGACAGCTGAGATTTTCCTCAGTAACTCCTCACCTTAGTTTTCACTGACTTGTTTGTCTACTTGCTTATTTTTAAGTGTGTGAGTGTTTTACCTGCGTGTATGTGTGCACACGCACCATGCGTGTGCTTGGTGCTCAGTGGTGCCAGAAGAGAGGTATCAGATCCTTTGGAACTGGAGTTACCGATGGTTGTGAGCAACCATGTAGGTGGGTGCTGGGAACCAAACCTGGGCCCTCTGCAAGAGCAGTAGGCACTTTTAACTGCTGAGATATCTCTCTAGCTCCAATCCACTTTTTTTTTTTTTTTTGAGATAGGGTCTCGCTGAACCTAGAACTTACTGATTTAACAGTAGTGGCTAGCAAGCAGGCTCTAGGGATCTGCCTGTGTCTGCCTCCCCAGTGATGGGCCAACAGACATGTGCTAACCTCATTTTGTTTGTTTTTGTAACTCTTGCTAGCTTGGAACTCACTATGTAGACCAGGCTGGCCTGGAACTCACAGAGATTCTCTTGGTTCTGGTTCAAGAGTGGTAGGATTGGGGCTGGAGAGATGGCTCAGTGGTTAAGAGCACTGGCTGCTCTTCCAGAGGTCCTGAGTTCTATTCCCAGCAACCACATGGTGGCTCACAACCATCTGTAATGAGATCTGGTGTTCTCTTCTCACCTGCAGGCAGAACATTGTGTACATAATACACAAATGAATCTTTAAAAAAAAAAAAAGAGTGGTAGGATTAAAGGTATGTGCTACCAGTGTGGGTCCTGGGGATCTGAACTCAGGTCCTCAAACTTAAGAAGGAAGCGTTTTACTGAATGAGTCATTTCTCCACCCCTTCCCCTCCCATCTTTTTTAAAAACTGTTTTGTTTGTTTACTTCTTTTAAAGATAGTGTTTCATGTAGTTCAACCTGGCCTTCAACATTTGCTTCTTCTTGCCTCAGTTTCCCTGAGTAGCAGCAGTGATAGGCCTGGACCAGGAGCCCTGCCTATTTGTTATTTATTCATTCATTCTTGGTTTTCTGAGACAGGATCTCATGTAGTACAGGATTACTGTGTAGTCAATGATGACCTTGACCACCTGACCCCCCTGCCTCCACCTCCCAAGTGCTGGGATTGAAGGCATGTGCCACCATATGTGGCTGTGTATTTATTTTATGTGTGCAGCATGGGTAGGGTCTCACTTTGATGTAGCTCCAGCAGAACTGGAAGTCAAAATGTAAATCAAGCTGGGCTTGATCTTGTGGTGATTCTCCTGCTTCTGCCTCGTGAGTACGGGCTTTAGGTGTGCACCATTAGACCTGGTCTATTTAAGACAGGCCTGACTATGTGGTATAAAATGGCCTGGAATTTGCAAATCCTGCTTCAACCTTCCAAGTACTGGGATTACAGGTGCATGCTACCACATATGGCTGAGACTTGTTTTTATTTTATGTGTTTTGCATGTACGTCCGTGTACCACATGCATGCCTGGTGTCCATGGAGGCCAGAATAAGGCATTGTATTCCCCTGGAACTGGAGTTAAACACTGTTGCAGACGGGGTGGTGGTGCATACCTGTAATCCCAAGCAGAGGCAGGGAGATCTCTATGAGTTCAAGGCCAGCCTGGTCTACAGAGCAAGTTCCAGAATGGTCAAGGCTACACAGAGAAACCCTGTCTTGAAAAAAAACCAAAACCAAACAAAAACTGTTGCAAACTGCCATGTGGGTCCTGGGAACTGAACCTGGGTCCTCTGGAAGAACAACCAGTGCTCTTAGCCACTGAGGCATCTCTCTGACCCTGCTTTATTTTTAATACACTAGTAATAGGCACTATTTATGTAGAGCTTACTGTGTGCCAGGAATGAAGCATGTTTCATATGGTAACCTATTGGATCCTCTGAACACTTTCCAGGCAAGTTCAGTTGTTATCTTGGTTTTATCCATGAGAAAATGGAGGCAAGGACATGCTGGGTAACTTACCCAGGGTCCTACAGCTTGGGAACAGTGGAACTGGGATTTGCATGTAAGCAGCTGGGAGTCAAGACTGCTCTTTACCACCACCCTCCTAGACTGAGAAGTCAAATGAAAGGGTGTAGCTTGGTGGTAGAATATTTGCTTATCACCAGGGAGACCCTGAACTTGGTCCCCAGCACTTAGGGAAAAAGAGTTGAGCAGTACAGTAACGTGTAAGTAAAAAAAATTCTAACTAGATGTGATGGTGGCTGCCAGTAATCCCAGCACTTGAGAGACAGGAGGATTGACATAAGTTTGAGGACAGCCTGGACACAGAGTACGAGGCCAGCCAGGGCAAGAGCTAACCTTTTTTTTTTTTTTTTTTTTAATTTGGCAATACCATTCAGTTCTACATATCAGCCACGGATTCCCTTGTTCTCCCCCCTCCCGTCCCCCTCACCTTCCCCCCAGCCCCCCCCCCTCCATTCCCATTTCCTCCAGGGCAAAGCCTTCCCCACAGACTGAGGTCAACCTGGTAGACTCAGTCCAGGTAGCTCTAGTCCCCTCCTCCCAGGCCGAGCCAAGCAATCCTGCATAGGCCCCAGGTTTCAAACAGCCAACTCATGCAATGAGCACAGGACCTGGTCCCACTGCCTGGATGCCTCCCAAACAGATCAAGCCAATCAACTGTCTCACCCATTCGGAGGGCCTGATCCAGTGTGGACCCCTCAGCCATTGGTTCATAGTTCATGTGTTTCCATTCATTTGGCTATTTGTCCCTGTGCTTTATCCAACCTTGGTCTCAACAATTCTCACTCATATAAACCCTCCTCATTCTCGCTAATTGGACTCCCAGAGCTCCACTTGGGGCCTAGCCATGGATCTCTGCATCCAGATCCCTCAGTAGTTGGATGAGGTTTCTAGCACAACAATTAGGGTGTTTGGCCATCCCATCACCAGAGTAGGTCAGTTCGGGCTGTCTCTCGACCATTGCCAGCAGTCTGTTGTGGGGGTATCTTTGTGGATTTCTGTGGGCCTCTCTAGCACTTTGCTTCTTCCTATTCTCATGTGGTCTTCATTTACCATGGTCTCCTATTCCTTGTTCTCCCTCTCTGTTGTTGATCCAGCTGGGATCTCCCGCTCCCCCAAGCTCTCTTTACCTCGACCCTCACCTTTCACTACCCCCACTCACATCCAGGTTGTTCATGTAGATCTCATCCATTTCTCTGTCATTGGGCGATCCCTGTGTCTTTCTTGGGGTCCTGTTTTTCAGGTAGCCTCCCTGGTGATGTGAGTAGCAGACAAGTCATCCTTGTTCTATGTCTAGTATCCTGCTATGAGTGAGTACATACCATGTTTGTCTTTCTGAGTCTGGGTTACCTCACTCAGGATGATTTTTTCTAGATCCATCCATTTGTCTGCAAACCTCATGATGTCATTGTTTTTCTCTGCTGAGTAGTATTCCATTGTGTATATGTACCACATTTTGTTTATCCATTCTTCAGTTGAAGGGCATCTAGGTTGTTTCCATGTTCTGGCTATTACAAACAATGCTGATATGAACATAGCTAAACAAGTGCTCTTATGGTGTGGTTGAGCATTCCTTGGGTATATGCCCAAGAGTGGTATAGCTGGATCTTGGGGGAGATGGATTCCCAATTTTCTAAGAAAGCGCCATATTGATTTCCAAAGTGGTTGTACAAGCTTGCATTCCCACCAGCAGTGGAGGAGAGTTCCCCTAGCTCCACATCCTCTCCAGCATAAGGTGTCTTCAGTGTTTTTGATCTTAGCCATTCTGACAGGCGTAAGGTGGTATCTCAGAGTTGTTTTGATTTGCATTTCCCTGATGATTAGGGATGTTGAGCAATTCCTTAAATGTCTTTCGGCCATTTGAGTTTCCTCTGTTGAGAATTCTCTGTTTAGTTCTATAGCCCATTTCTTAATTGGACTGTTGGGCATTTTGATGTCTAATTTCTTGAGTTCCTTATATATTCTGGATATCAGTCCTCTGTCAGATGTGGGGTTGGTGAAGATCTTTTCCCATTCTGTAGGCTGTCGCTTTGCCTTGTTGACTGTATCCTTTGAAGAGCTAATCTTAAAATACAAACAAACAATCTAAAAATACAAACACAAAACAATTGTGATCACTACTCTTTACCCCGCCCCTGCTGTTGTATAGCCCCTCCAATCAGTTGCATCTCTCTTTCCAGAGGTGACCCTTGGCAACAGTTCTGTGTCCTCCATCATCACCTGCATATCCATGTACTCATGTACACATGTTACCTTTTACTTTAACGGACATGGGATTGTCAACTCTATTTTGTGCTTATTTTTCTTCTGTTTAAAGATGGCTCAGTGGTTAAGAGCACTGACTGCTCTTCTAGAAGACCCAGGTTCAGTTCTCAGCACCCACATGGCAGTTCACAACTGTTCGTAACTCCAGTTCCAGGGGACCTAACACCCTCACACAGATGTGCTTGCAAAACACCAATGCACATTAAATAAAATCTTTAAAAAAAAAAGGACATTTAGCCGGGCGATGGGGGTGCACACCTTTAATCTCAGCACTCAGGAGGCAGAGCCAGGCGGATCTCTGTGAGTTCGAGGCCAGTCTGGTCTACAGAATGAGTTTCAGGACAGGCTCCAAAACTACACATAGAAACCCTGTCTTGAACACCCACCCCCCAAAAAAAACTGGAAATTTAGGGTTTTTTCTTTCTGTCTTTAAGATAACATCCCCCATAAACATAAACATGATCTTTGCCTAAATATTTAGAATATGTATTCCTAGAAATACAATCACTGGCTGTTGAAATGGCTCAGCAGGTAAAGGCACTTTGCCAAGCTTCATGACCTGAGTTTGGTCCCTGAGATCCACACAGTGTAAGACTACTGACCCCCTGAAATTGTCCCTGGCCTTCACAGTTGTGCTGTGAAACATGTACCTTCCCCCAAATAAATCAATGTAATAAAATTTTTTTTAAAGATACAAGCTAGGTATGATGCCCTACACCTTTAATCCCAGCACTAGGGAGGCAGAGGCAGGTATATCTCTGTGAGTTCAAGTCCAGCCTGGTCTACATAGATGGTTTCAGAGTAGCAGGCTGTAGAGTGAGATCCCGTCAAAAAACAAAACAAATAAAAACAAAAAAGTTACTATATGTATTTAATGGCATTAAAGAGTATGTATTGGGGCCGGGCGGTGGTGGCGCACGCCTTTAATCCCAGCACTCGGGAGGCAGAGCCAGGAGGATCTCTATGAGTTCGAGGCCAGCCTGGACTACCAAGTGAGTTCCAGGAAAGGCGCAAAGCTACACAGAGAAACCCTGTCTCGAAAAATCAAAAAAAAAAAAAAAAAAAAAAAAAAAAAGAGTATGTATTGGAAAAAAAATTGAGGTTTATGTTGGCCGGATGTAGCTCAACAGTAGAGTACTGTCATGTACGAAGTACTGAATTCAATCCCCAAACAGTTCAGAAAACAACAACAACAAAAAACAGTATGTGTTTTTAACATTGTGATTGATACTGTGGACTCATCTTCTAAAAAGTCAATATAGTCAACTGGGCGTGGTGGTGTAATGCCATCACTCAGAGGCTTGGACCGTAGGGTCAAAGCTTCAAGGCCAGCCTGGACTACAGTGAGACCCTGTCTCAAAATACCTGGAAAAAGGTCAATAACCAGTTCCCGTGGTCTGTGAGAATCCCCGCTTCTCCATACCCTGATGCTGTGTTACAGATGGTTTTCTTTCCTGGTTTGGTTTGGTTTTGTTGAAACAGGTCTCATGTAGTCCAGGCTGGCCTGGGCTTCACAGCAGTCTTCCTGCCTCGCCCTGCTGCATGCCGAGATGATAGACACAGAGCACGGCAGAGGCACTGGTTCCTTTTCAAAATTAGTTTTAAGTCAGGCGTGGCAGTGCACGCCTTTAGTCCCAGCACTTGCAAGGCAGAGGCAGTCGGATCTGTGAGTTGGAAGCCAGTCTGATCTACATAGTGAGTTCAAGGACAGCCAGGGCTACTTATTTAATTTTAATTTCTTGGGATTATACATTGTGTATGTGAGATATATATATATCTCCTCCACCACCTTCTCTTCTTCTTTTTTTTTTTGAGACAAGGTCTCACTATGTAGCCCGGGCTGACCTGGAAATCGCTGCGTAGACCAGGCTGGCCTTGAACTCAGATCCGCCTGCCTCTGCCTCCCAAGTGCTAGAATTGAAGTCATGTGCTACCGAGTCCAACTTTTTTGGTATTTTGGAGGCCGAGTCTTAGTATGTAGCCCAAGCTTGTTTCAAACTTTCAGTAATCCTCTGGCCTGAGCCTGGGATTACAGGCCCGTGCGCCACACCCTGCCCTCATTTCTTATCAGTGAGTGAACTGAGCATTTCCCCTCTGACTGACCATCCTGACATCTGCTGTGAACTGTCAATCTTTGCTCACTCTTCAGCTGGCGTCCATGTTTCTCTCTTCATTTGCCGCTGCCTATTGTTTTGCTGAAGCTACTTTACGTGTGGTGTATGCATCTTTGCGATCTCTGGCCAGTTTCTCTAATTTATTGTGCTTTGTCATTTTTATTTAGCTCACACTGGCACATCACACTGGTTAATCCCACCTGATGTGTTCGATGCACTCTAACCTCTCTGATCATTCCTGACCTCTGACCCTGCCGTCACCTCTGACCCATGACTATCCTCCGGTCTTCACTCTCCAGAACTTTCTGGCTTCTGACCCCCCTGACTTCCTTGGCTTGGCCTCCCCCCAGGTTTGTGAATGGGGCAGGTTACTTTGCTGCTGTGGCAGATGCCATCCTGCGTGCTCGAGAGGAGATTTTCATCACAGACTGGTGGTGAGTGAGGTCAGGTGCCCTGGAGAAGAGGGCGTTGCGGGGGAGGGAGTGGGGGGCAGAGTAGTGCAGGGGGGGGGGCGGGGGGGAGCGGGAGCGGAGAGAGGAGGGGCTGTCTTTAGGGGGGAGGGGGCAGAGTAGCCCACGGGTCAGGGTCGGGGGGGGCTCTCTTCTGCTCAGCTTGCTCCTTACCCACCACCCTGACTTCTAGGTTGAGTCCTGAGATTTACCTGAAGCGTCCAGCCCATTCCGATGACTGGAGACTAGACATCATGCTCAAGAGGAAGGCGGTGAGGACCGGTTGGTTGTGGGTGGGAGTTAATTGGAAGGACTTCAGCAGGAGTCTTCCAAGGAGAAAGTTGGGAATCGGAGGCTTCAGGACCTGGAATCGTACCCCTCCCGATCAGTGTTTGTCAACTATCACCTCCGGGTTCCCTCTTCAGGGTACTCGTATAGACTAGGTTCCCATTACTCAGACCCTTTTGGTACCATCTGGGGGTGTAGATGTCTGTGTCTCTTCCCTGAGGAACGTCACAAGTTTCACTAGAAAAGCATGGCACCTGTTGTGTATCAAGCATTTGTGAGTGCTTTGTTTTTAAGACAGGGTCTCACTCTACAACTTGACTGGCCTGGAACTCACTTTGTAGACCAGGCGGACAAACTCAGAGATCCCACCTGCCTCTGCCTCCTCAGTGCTGGGATCAAAGGCGTGCGCCACCACACCTGGCATTTGTGAATGTTGATGTGAATGTGGACAAGGATTCATGGATGATGGAGGGTGAATGGATAGATGGTAGAAAAGGAAATGGGTGTGGTGGCACCCACCTGTAATTCCAGCACTTGGGAGATGGACACAGGAGGATTAGGAGTTGAAGGTTAGCCTTGGCTATATACTGAGTATATACCAGCTTGGACTAAAGTCTGTGTCTGGAAAGGGGAAAAAAGAACAGGGAGATGGGTGGAAGGATAGGACTTGGGAAGGTGGAGGTGACTGGAAAGAATGATAGACAGTAGTTAAGATGATGAGTAAATAGTCGGGAAGGTGGCTGGCTAGATTATGAAAGGTAGGTGATAGATGAGTGGGTGAGCTGTTTGCTGTAAGCATCATGACGGGTGGGTGCACGTGGGAGAGCACCCAGGAAGGGTGGAGGCATGCAGGAATCCTGGGCATGGGGGTTGGATAGGGGCCACTCAGGGAGAGGCACTAGGATTTGCTTTTCCCACTTACTACCAGGAAGAAGGTGTCCGTGTATCCATCCTGCTGTTTAAGGAAGTGGAACTGGCCTTAGGCATCAACAGTGGCTATAGCAAGAGGATTCTGATGCTGCTGCACCCCAACATAAAGGTGATGTTTGGGCCTGAGTCCCTTCCTACACTACAGCCGCTTCCCATCCTCTCAGCCCTTCCTCTCCCTAAAAACTCTCGTCCTCCATCTTTTCCCACCCTGTCCTCTCACTGAAACCTCCCCCATGGACTCCTCCACCCTACTCTAGGTGATGCGCCACCCAGACCTTGTGACACTGTGGGCCCATCATGAGAAGCTCCTGGTGGTAGACCAAGTAGTGGCTTTCTTGGGGGGGCTGGACCTTGCCTATGGCCGCTGGGATGATGTGCAGTACCGACTGACTGACCTTGGGGACCCCTCGGAACCCGCAGCCTCACAGGTAATTAATTGCCCCAAGGCCATCCTGAACTCCCCCAAACCCAGGCACTCTATGTTGACACCCTTCCCAGTACTGCTGACCTGCAGAGGTCCTCAGCAGTTCAGAGACCCCAGGAAGCTATGTTTGTTATTGTTTCCGAGACAGGGTCTAACTGTAGAGCTCAAGCTATCTAAAACTTGTCATCCCCCTATCTCAGCTTCCAGATGGCTGAGAGTATAGGTATGTGCCACTTTGTCAAGAAATGTCCTTCGGGGGCTGGAGAGCCATCTCTTATGGCTCAGCGGTTAAGAGCACTGGCTGCTCTTCCAGAGGTCCTGAGTTCGGTTCCCAGCAACCACGTGGTGGCTCACAACCATCCGTTATGAGATCTGGTGCCCTCTTCTGGCCTGCAAGCATGCATGTAGGCAGAACACTGTGTACATAATAGATAAATCTTAAAAAAAAAAAAAAAAAAAAAAGAAAAAGAAAAGAAATGTCCTTCAAAATATTGTCATGTGGTCCACATCTGTAATTCCAGCACCAAGAACACTCAGGCAGGAGGATTTCAAGTTTGAAGCCAGGCTGGGACGGACACACACACATACACACACACACACACACACACACACACCTCCCTTTTCCTCCATTTTTACTGACTAACGGCAGCTGAAGGAGGAGACTGGGGAATCAGACTCTGGGGCAGTGCACTTCTCTTCTCTTTGGTCTGACCCCATGACCTCACCTTCCCTGGATGTGGTGTATTCTTCCTGCAGATTCCCACACCAGGGGCAGACCCTGCAGCCACCCCAGACCTGTCCCACAACCGATTCTTCTGGCTGGGAAAGGACTACAGCAATCTCATCACCAAGGACTGGGTGCAGCTGGACCGGCCTTTTGAAGGTGAGGCTCCCTTCCTCAAGGCCTCCAGAAGCTGGCAGCTGGGGCGGGAACTGGGACTGGGACTGAGTGTGGGGTGTAATGAGTCGCGAACAGTGTGGCCTTCCCTCTGGAAGGTTCCTATCGTTTTCATTTTCCTCCTTGTCTTAGTCAGGGTTACTGTTGCTGTGATAAAACACCATGACAAAAAGCAAGTTGGGGAGGAAAGGGTTTATTTGGCTCACACTTCCACATCACTGTTCATCATCAAAGGAAGTCAGGACAGAACTCACACAGGGCAGGAACCTGGAGGCAGGAGCTGATGCAGCGACCATGGAGGGGTGCTGCCTGCTGGCTTGCTCCCTGTGGCTTGCTCAGCCTGCCTTCTTATAGAACCCAGGACCACCACCCCGGGGGTGGTCCTACACACAATGGGCTGGGCCTTCCCCATTCATCACTAATTAGGAAAATGCCCTACAGCCTTGCCCAATCTTATGGAGGCATTTTCTCAGTTGAGGTTCCCTCCTCTCTGATGACTCTAGCTTGAGTCAAGTTGTCAAACCAGCACACTCCTGTCCCACGTATCCCCAACACACCAGCCCTAACGTCTCCCTTAACTCTTCTGGGACTCCCAGATTTTATTGACAGGGAGACCACACCCAGGATGCCATGGAGGGATGTTGGAGTGGTTGTACATGGCACAGCCGCCCGGGACCTTGCCCGGCACTTCATCCAGCGCTGGAACTTCACGAAGGTGCTGACTCTCTCCAGAGGGACTGGAGGGAGGGAGGGAGGGGAAAGCCTGTTTGGGCTTACCACCTTCTGCTGACTCTGCTCTTCCTTCATGGCAGACCACCAAGGCCAAGTACAAGATACCCATGTACCCCTACCTGCTGCCCAAGTCCACCGGCACAGCAAACCATCTCCCTTTCACAATCCCAGGCGGGCAGTGCGCTACTGTGCAGGTGACAGTCCTGACCAGCCAGCCCCTTCCCTCCCTCTCATTAGCCTGTGGCTCTCCTCCTCTCCCTGAGAGCCCCCCTTCCTGGGCTTAAAAACCACATTATATTCACCGCCCCGCAGGTCTTGAGGTCTGTGGACCGATGGTCAGCAGGGACTTTGGAGAACTCCATCCTCAATGCCTACCTCCACACCATCAGAGAGAGTCAGCACTTTCTGTACATTGAGGTCTGCCTGAGGCAGAAATGGAGGGAGAGGATGGGAGGGATGTCCCAGGAGAGGGACTGGGGCTGCCAGCAGGATCCGTCTCAGAGGGGTGGCCTGGCTGGGTGCGTAGCAAATGCAGGACCTGGGACTGGGGCCGGAGGAGGTCAGGGCCAGGATGCCGATGTCTCTCTTTGATCCCCACCCCCAGAACCAGTTCTTCATTAGCTGCTCAGATGGGCGGACAGTTCTCAACAAGGTGGGCGATGAGATTGTGGACAGGATCCTGAAGGCCCACAAGTAAGGTGGAGGTGGGGGCGCTGCATAGGCCCGGATGGAGGGGCCGAGTTCGTTTTGGGGACCATCGCACCTCTGACGGTTGTCTCCCCAGACAGGGGCAGTGCTTCCGGGTCTACGTGCTTTTGCCTTTGCTCCCTGGCTTTGAGGGCGACATCTCAACAGGAGGTGGGAACTCCATCCAGGCCATTCTGCACTTCACTTACAGGTGACCCCTCCCGCACAACCAGGTTCCCGCTTCGCAGCCCCATCCCACGAATATCCTTCCCACCCTCTCCCGATCCCCCGCTGCGGGAGCTTGTGAGGTCTGCCTCTCCCATCTCTTCCCTACCTCCTCCTTCAGCCTCTGCCTCCCTCACCCTTTCTTTTCTCTCAGGACCCTGTGTCGTGGGGAATATTCAATCTTACATCGTCTCAAAGCAGCCAGTGAGTGCTGGGGGTTCAAGCCCTGGATCCCTGGCAGGGAGGCAGCTTGGGTAGCTGGAGTCCTGGGAACTGGGGAAGGAAACTGTCATTCATGCGTGCCCCTTCAGAGTGCCGGTGGCTTTTCGCTGCTGGGAGTGAGAGGTGTGGGATGGAGTCCCAGCCATTCACAGCGGACTGCTCCCGCTTCACCGCCCCTCCCTCATCTCTCTCGTGTACAGTGGGGACAGCGTGGCAGGATTACATGTCCATCTGTGGGCTTCGCACACATGGAGAGCTGGGCGGGCACCTGATTTCTGAGCTCATCTATATCCACAGCAAGCTGCTCATTGCAGATGACAGGACTGTCATCATCGGTCAGTGCTGCACCTGATCCTCTGTCAGGAGGTGGGCTGGGAGGGTCAGAGGGTGATATAGAGTCTGCAGCTGAAGCTCATGGCCCGTGGGGGGGGGGCGGCTTCAGGCTAGTGCTCTGGTAAAGGTGATAAGGTGTTGGGGAGGCCCTCCTGGGCCCAGGTAGACACAGTGTGCCCTTGATCTCATCCCAGGTTCTGCGAACATCAATGACAGGAGCTTGCTGGGGAAACGGGACAGTGAGCTAGCCATACTGATTGAGGATACAGAAATGGAGCCATCCCTCATGGACGGGGTGGAGTACCAGGCAGGCAGGTTTGCCCTGAGTTTGCGGAAGCACTGTTTCAGGTAGGAGTCGGGGAGTGCGGATGGATGTGGGGGCGATGGGAGGGTTTCCTAGAGCTGGTACTAGACTTACCAGACTAATCCAGTTAAGGTATCAGCCAATTAGCAACTTCCTATGTGTGTGTGTTCCTATGTAGCATGGGCTGATCTTGAACTCTTGATCTCCTGCCTCTGCCTTCCAAGTGCTGGGATTATAGGCACATGTTACTATTACCATGCCCAGTTAAAGTAATTTTTTTTTTAATCAAAGTAAAGAAAGATAAATCAAAGCTCCCTCTAGGTTCACTAACCCTTCTTTTCACTGTTTATAGCATCTGTTTTGAAGTAGCAGGAGTTTAGGTTTTCTAAGGAACTTAAGTTGGCCCATTGGTCCCATTCTTCCATAGTGTCATTCTTGGGGCAAATACCCGGCCAGACCTGGATCTCCGAGACCCTGTCTGTGATGACTTCTTCCAGCTGTGGCAAGAAACAGCTGAGAACAATGCCAACATCTATGAGCAGGTAGAAGCTGGGGCAGGTCTGGCCTGAGGAATTGATGGGTTATCCTGTTCAGAGGGAGAGGAGGGTTGGGGAGCATGTCTGATTAGGCTTCCGTAGCCCAGGGGTCCAGCCCCGGCAGCCCAGACTCCTGATCTTCCTAATCTTAATCGGCTCCCGTGTCCTCCCCTCCACCCCAGATCTTCCGCTGCCTGCCGTCCAATGCCACGCGTTCCCTGCGGACTCTCCGGGAGTACGTGGCCGTGGAGCCCTTGGCCACGGTCAGCCCTTCTTTGGCCCAGTCTGAACTCACTCACATCCAGGGCCACCTAGTTCACTTCCCCCTCAAGTTTCTGGAGGATGAGTCCTTGTTGCCCCCACTGGGGAGCAAGGAGGGCATGATACCTTTAGAAGTGTGGACATAGCCAAGGCTTCAGCCTGGCAGCAGCCATAGCCGCCGGGCCCCACTGTGCCTGATCCTTGCCTCAAACCCCGAGTTCCGAGGGCAGTGCCCCTTGATCCCTAGAGAGGACATCTCTGAGGAGTACTAGAGAATCACAGAGGACCTTTACTTGAGAAGTAACCCAAGGGAGCACTCCCCAGCCAGGCCTGGGGGAGGCAGGAGAGAGTTCTAGAGAGGTTTGCCCTCCCACCACCTAGTTCACCACTGCATAAAAGCCTCTCTTACTAGGAGGCCTGAGGTCAAACCTTTCACTCCAGGAAAAGGGGCTCCTGTCCTGGGTCCTTCCTCATCTCACTCTTCCTCCTGCCCTTGAGCCCCCTATGTGCCCCCAGGGCCTCTCCTAGCCCATCACTGCCAAGATGGAGGGAGTATGGAGCCACTTTTGACTGCAGTCCCCCGCCAACGGTGGTGGGGACAACACCATAACGCCCTCCACCCGCCTGCCGACAAACACTAACTTTGTACCAGTTCATCAAACATTTCATAAATAAAAGTGTAGAAAAGGCCCGTGCCTCTTCTTGGCAGAGATGAATGTGTCATAGGCTCTCCCTGCCTGCACAGGACACCCGTCCTCACCTTCTCTCTGCCTCAGTTCTTGGTTCTGTCTTCTGTGTGCACCTCTGTGCTTCTTAGCAGCAGCTTCCAAGTTCATTCACCTAATTCCTGGAGGAAGATCAGGGCCAAACACACGTGCAGGTGCGCACGCGTGTGTGTTTGTGTGTGTGTGTGTGTGTGTGTGTGTGTGTGTGTGTGTGTGTGTGTGTGCGCGCGCGTGCATACATATATTCATAACTTTGTGTATGTCTGAGGTATTTTGCAATTACGAGATGTTGAGCACAGATAGCCACAGAAGCAGGAAGAAACTCAGAGGAGTGAAGGATTTAAGAAGGCTTCGTGGGAGGTATGTGGGGGGTGGTAATGCTTCGATGGGAGGGCATTCATTAGGCTGCTGTCCCAAACTCTGAGTGTAGCCCTCTAGTTCTCTCAAGAAGTGGCCTCTAGGGCCAGCCAAGTGGTTCCTGTCAAGCCTGATGACTTGAGTTCAGTCCCCAAGATCCACGTGGCAGGAGGGAACAGATTCCTGAAAGTTGGACTCGGACCTCCACACACAGGCATTCCTGTGTGCACATACACAATAAGTTGATTAACTTTTTTTTTAAAGTAGAGAGCTCCAAGCCAGGTGGTGGTGGCTCACATCTTTGGGAGGCAGAGGCAGAGGCAGGCAGATCTCTGAGTTTGAGGCTAGCCTGGCCTGCAGAGTGAATTCCAGAACAGGGAGGGATACACACATCTGTCTCAAAACGCACCCCCCCCAAGACCCTTAGCCTTGACCTCCAGCCTTCACTTGTACATGTACACACACACACACACACACACACACCTATGTACCTCTGAACAGATGCACACACACACACACAACAAAACACTTAATATCCAAGAAATCCCCCTCCTACACACAGCAGTTCCTGGTACTAATTGGCATCCAGTGCATTAATTAGTCTCATTGTTAGCACTTAAATATCTCTTTCCCTGGGGGACCATTACTTAACTGTGAGGTGGAGGCAGCAGTTGCCCAAAGCTGGGCCAGGGGATAGATTGACTTCAGGTTCTTAGTTCTTAGTCTTGGAGTGTTTGAAGACAGGGTCTGGCTATGAAGACAATCCTGCCTCTGCTTCCTGCCCAGCTATGACAGGGTCTTGCTGTACAACTCAGGCCTCTAATTCATGATCCTTGAGCTTCCTGCCTCAACCTCCTAGGGCAGGGATTGCAGGGGTCCATAGTCCAGCTGTAGTCCAGGTTCTTGATAGAAGGCTAACATAGTGTGGGGGAGGCAGGTAGCCACCCTATCTCAAGAACCAGCTCCCACCAGTCTTGCCCTCCCCGCACTTCCCACTCCAGGGATTACATGGCCTCCTGAGGTGAAGGTGGCCGTTTATCCCATCCGAGAGGTGTTGGTTTGCTCATTCGTTTATTAACGTCAAACATTCCAGGAATCCAGCATCAGCAAATTTATTGAGTATATACTGAGCGCCTCTCTATTAATTATTTGATTCATTTTAGACAGACTCTCACTGGCTGACTTGAAATCCACTGTGTAGACCAGGCTGGCCCTGAACTTGCTGTGATCCTCCTGCCTGTGCCTCCCACATGCTGGGATTACAGGTGTGCACCACACCTGGATTTTTGTTTGTTTCTTAAGACAGGGTCTTGCTGGGCAGTGGTGGCGCACGCCTTTAATCCCAGCACTCGGGAGGCAGAGGCAGGCAGATCTCTGTGAGTTCGAGGCCAGCCTGGTCTACAGAGTGAGATCCAGGACAGGCACCAAAACTACACAGAGAAACCCTGTCTCGAAAAACAAAAACAAAAACAAGACAGGGTCTCATATAGCACAGGTTAGCCTGGATCTCACTCTGTAGCCCAGGCAGCCTTGTATTTGCAGGAATCCTCTTGCCTCAGCCTCCAGAGTATTGGAAATAGAGATTTTAGCCACTGCACCCAGTTTTTAACCTCCCTAATATCTACTTTACAGATAGTTATAATTGAGTTTCAGAGAAGTTAGGGATTTGCCTACAGCAGTCACTTCAAATTTTGTTTCTTGTACTGCACAGCGGTCTCGACCTTCAACTACTATAGTTGCCTGCTAGACAACAGAAGCCTTGATTCAGTTTAGCATTCTCAAAGCATTTGAAGGTGCTAGACCCTGTGCTGGACAAGACTGACATCACTTCTGCTTAGATTCACATACTTAAAATTCATAGTATCGGGGCTGGAGAGATGGCTCAGAGGTTAAGAGCACTGGCTGCTCTTCCAGAGGTTCTGAGTTAAATTCCCAGCAACCACATGGTGGCTCACAACCATCTGTAATGAGATCTGGTGCCCTCTTCTGGTATGCAAGCATACACACAGAACACTGTATACATAATAAATAAATAAAAATCTTTAAAAAAATTCATAGTATCAAACATTACCAAAGGACTAAGGCAGCTAAACAAAAGAGCCAAACTCACCAGCTCAAGAAAGATGCCAGGGCCAGCAAGATGCCTGTCTCATCAAGCCTGGTGACCTGAGTTAGATCAACAAGACCAACGTGGTGACCAAGGAGAGCTCCACCCAGAGGTAGACCTTTGACCTCCTTATGTACACCCTAGCACTCGAGCATGCACCCAAACCCATGTAACAAAATTTTGTAAAACAATGTTCGTAGAGAGGTGATTCCAACATGTATCTCAAAGCAAAGGCCAGTGAGAATGTTGACAGCTAGTGTCTCAGTTGGGTTTCTACTGTGTAGTAAAACGCCATGACCAAGAGCAACTTGGGGAAGAAAGGGTTTATTTCAGTTTACAGCGCTCAGGTCACCCTCCATCACTGAAAGAAATCAGGGCAGGAACCTGGCTGATGCAGAGGCCACAGAACAGTGCTGCTTACTGGCTTGCTCCACCTGACTTCTTACACAACCCAGGACTTGGGGGCACCACCCCTAGTGGGCAGGGACCTCTCACGTCAATCATCAATCATCAATCAAGAAAATGCTTCACAGGCTTACCCACAGGCCAGTCTGGTGGGGGTGTTTCTCAACTGCGGTTCCCTCTTCCCAAATGACTCTAGCTTGTGTCAAGTTGACATAAAACCAGCCAGCACAACTGGAAGTCGGAGAACACTCCAGGGGAAAAGAAAAGTAAGTGCAAAGACAAGGAAGCGATGTCGAGGTCTGGGCGCTTCAAGCAGAATAGCAGCAGCTCAGTGCAGCTGGACCGAGTTTAAGTGTGGCTTATTAAAACACAAGACCGAAAAAGAAAAACATCCGTGGGGCCAAAGAAACGGGCAGAATGTTGAAAGTCTTTGATATCCCTACCCACAAGGCAGCGGGAGTCGGCAAAGGGTGTTCTTACTCATTTTTTCTTTTCAGCTAGTCACTACATAACCCAGACTAACAGAAAATGTAATCCTCTTGCCTCAGCTTCTTGAAAACCATTTTAAACAGAAGGATGTCAGGTTTAAGTTTTAGGAAAATCACTTCTGGATGGGAAGAACTGAGGGTGTCAGGCAGAGAGGCCGTGTAGGAGAAGGACAGAGTGATGGGGGGAAAGGAGGGCTGGGCAAATGAGTCAGGGGGGCATCCAGACCAAGTCCATCCAGATGTGCCAAGACGGCTCCCGAGAATTCAAACTCACTGAAGCGATGTTTATACTAAGGCTGGGAATGGGAATTTTCAGAGGGAGTATTAGTGTTGGAAGAGATCTTGAGACACGCAGAACACCTTACCTCAACTCCACAGAGAAAGAAAAGCCCAGAGAGGCAAATTCGCTTGCTCAAGGTCACACAGCACATTCGTCAGTGGCAGAACATGACTGTCTATTATATAGTTACACAGCATCACCCATCCCCTAGTGAGACTAACCGGCTGCAGGTGCTGTGTCAACATGAGTAGATCTAAGGTGCTGGAACAAAACTTGGAGGGATTGGATACAGCTCCTTCCTCTTCGGCTTCGCCACTAGCAACTCCAGCGATCGTACTTTCCTGCAGAGCACTGTTAAGAGGAGCAGAGAGTGCAGTCGGAGTGCCTATCCTAAGGGCTGAGATCCGCTCCCAACATTCCCACTCCAGCTAGGGAAGGGAGTAAAGGGCAGACAGCAAACCGCCCCCCCCCCACTTCCCTCCCACGTGGTCTCTCCAGCCAAGTTCTCACGGAGAGGCCCCTCCCTCGGCGGCTCCACTGTTGCCATGGCAATTGGGTGGGTGGACAGCCCGTCCTATCTAGAGGCCACCAGCCCTCGCGTGGGGAGTTGCCATAACAACCCCCTAGTAATAGAGGGGGTTGGGTCCCGCCTCCCTTCCCCCGCAAATAGAGAGGTGGGTGGTTTGATTGGCAGCTAGGCACACGAAAGAAAGAAGGAAAGGAGTCAAGTAAAAAAAAAAAAAAAAATCCAGGAAGGAATTAGGGGAGAGGAGGCCAAAAAAAAAAATTAATAATAATAATAATAATAAAAGGGGGAAAGGAAGGGGAGGTGTGTGCGCACGCGCAACCAGCAGGTGGGCGCGCTCCTGCCACGCCGGGCTCCCGCAGGGCTCGGGGCCGGCGCGCACCCTCCGCCCGCTCTCCTGCGCCTGCGCGCAGGTGTCGGCGCCCGGCGGGAGGGGGCGCCCGGCGCGCTCGCGTCACGGCCGGCTCCGCGCGTGCGCAGGGGCAGCCGGCGGCTCGGGTTGCAGGCGCGCGGGTGAGAGCGCCTGTCAGCCGCTGGGTCGGTCCTCCCGCTGGCCCTCCCCCCTCCCCCGGCCTTTGGGGCAGGCGCGGTGGAGCCCGCCCCCCCGGGTCCCCCCAATGGGGGAGAAGCGGCGACGGCGGCAGCAGCGACGTGAGCGAGCCGGAGCGTGAGCGGCCCTGCGGCGGCCATGGGCGACCCGGCCCCCGCCCGCAGCCTGGACGACATCGACCTGTCCGCCCTGCGGGTGAGCGCCGCCCCCAGCCTCGCCCCGGCCCGCGCGCGACCCCTGCCCCTCTCCCCGGCTCGGCTCGCGCCGCCCGGGCCCCCGCCCTCTGCAGATTCCCGGAGCCAGTTCGGTCCCCACCCTGTGCTGCCCTCCCCCACACTTGCCTGCCACCCCTACCTTGCTGCTGGGATTCCGGGTCCCCACCCTCCTAGGCGTGTGAGGGTCACCTCTAGTGTCCCTAAATCCAGTTCGGCATCACCTGCAGAGTCTTTGTGTGTGTGTGTGTGTGTGGCCCCCTCACCCTGCCTCGGTCCTCATGTCTCCTTCCACCTCCACCTCCTCCTCCGGCTCCTGGAATTTTGACTTTGCAACTGCCTCCGCCTCCCCCACACCCCCCGTTTTCTTCCTCGCCTACCCCTGAATTGCAACTTGGGCGGCATTTCACCTCCTCACTCCACCCCACACACCACCTACGTCTCCATCCCACGTTCACTTTCTCTAGCCCTTCTCTCGCGTTTCAAGTGCAGCTTTCCAGCTCCAGGCATTTCCGGTCTCGGGGTCCCTGAATATTACATTACTAACTCTGCAGCCGTGTAGGGCTGCGAGGACGGACAAGTGCAGGGGGGGGGGGGGGAGGAAGGGAAGCCTTGATTTCCCTCGGAAACTCGGGCCGGAAGACGATGTTTACATACATGTACACACAGAAAACACATGCTGCCTGTGGTCGGTAGTGAGGGGTTGGCGAAAGTCGTGGGGGTGGAGGCCAAGGAGACCTGGAGGGAGGGGGCTCATTAGGAAAGCGGTTAAGAGGAAGCAACTGTGTCAGGAATGTGCTTTGAAATAACCCAATTATTGTTCCACGTGGGGCGCTTACTCTCCCTCTCTCCTTCCGGAATTTTTAATTCAGCAGCATTTGTATGTTTTTCTTTAGCGGGCAGCTTTGTCTTAAGGGCAATATTGTGATTTCAAGGTGAACCACTCCAGACTGTGTCCCAGGAGGTGTTTTGATTCCGTGCCCTACGAGCTTTCCCAACCGGCCAAGGTGTAGATAGAGCAGGATTTCCCACCTCATGCTTAGCTTCTTAGAAGATCCCCGAGCAGCACATTGTCTTCTGGCTTTTGAATTAACCAGGGAAAAGGCATTCAGCCCACAAGTGCCCCGGATATGACTGGAGGGGAGAGAGAATTGAAGAGAGCAGAGTCATGTTGTTAATTGGGTTTCTCTAGGTGACACAGTTTTTTTTTTTTCCCTTGCCATTCAGGTCATAATTTGTTTGGTGCAATGTTGGGTTATGCTGGAGATAAGTTTTAGGAGAACAAGGCTGAGCATTGGATCTCGATCTCTCTCTCTCTCTCTCTCTCTCTCTCTCTCTCTCTCTCTCTCACCCCCCCTCCCCTCTGTCCCTCTGCCTCTGTGTGTGTTTCAATGGGGGAAGGCCATGGGAGGTCAGTTCAGTCAGTGTTTAAACTGGGGTGCTCAAGTCCTTTGGAATGGAAGGTGGAAATCCAGGTTTTGAGTAAAGTCTCTTAATGTGCTTGGATTTGGAATGATATTGCAAATTGAAGTTGTTGATTAACTCTGGCCACAGGTTCTCTGGTGACCGAGACACTGTGACACAGTGAGTAGGTGCAGACCATGACCTTTGATTGGAACCTCGGTCCTCTGGTTGCTTCTCTTTTCTTTTGGTTTCTCTGGTAACTTCATCTGGGCCCCCGACTTGGGATTTCCAGCAATTCTGCAATTGCTATTTGACCTTGGACATGGCATTTCCCTTCTGGACTTCCCTCCTTGAGTGTGTTGGCCTCCTCCTGGTTCTCCGCTCCTTCCCTTCAAGGGAGCTGGGTGACCTGTTCCCTGTCCTTCTGTCCGTCCTGCCTTCTGCCTCTGAAGGAAACAAGGCACGTCTCTCGATCCGGCACCCCAGGACTCGAGGTAGAGCCATGCTTTCTTGAAATGGAAAGGCTGCTGTCTCCTTGCTGCTGGCTTCTCTCAGTGGCCAGTCCCATCCAGCACACCTCCAACAAGTGCTGTGGCCCCATCGGACGGCTGGCTCAGTCACACCTTAGTCTTCTGTTCCTGTTTTCTAGAGGGACATGGTACTGGTGTTGGTGGTTGGGGTAGGGTGAGCAAAGCCTTAATGAGCCTAAGATGTCTTTCTCCTCGTGTTTCAAGATAAGGCTTGGTTTTCAGCTGGTAGTGAGAGTAACAGTCTGATATTAGAGGAAGATTGAATTGCACTAATCTCTTAGCAAGGAGGCCAGATGGACCTGCTACTTTGCGACCACACCACCCTTGACTTCTTGGGCTGTTGTCCAACAGTATGGTGGGATAGTGTAGTCGGGGAGGAACATCAGTCTGGAGTTGCTTTCCTGAAGTCAAGTCCCTGTCTCCTCACTTCCTGTAGGATACAGGCCTTGGTCCTTTATCCCTACTTCCCTCCCTGCAGACTCTGCAATGAGTCTTATTTCCCTAAGCTCCATTTTCTTGCCTGTGTGGTGGGAATGTCAGAATAGCACTGAACAGAGAGTTACTGAAATTAAATGAAATGCAACACATTAAGTTTTTAGCTCAGTTCCTAGCACAGAATTGAGAAGCATCCCAGGACAACTCTAATAAAAAGCACTCTCTTCCCTGCTTTATGTTTTTGTAAAATTCCTTTTTCATAGTTCTTATCACTGGTTGACATAGATGTATTTCTGTCAGTCTTGACTAAAATGTGAATTAGGGCTCGAGGTATAACTCCGTGGTAGCTGTCTGTTTAGCATGCATGATATCCTAGGATCCTCAGTGCCACAAAAATAAAAGCACACTATCAGCTAGAATTTTGACTGTTTTGTTGTGTCTGTGTCCCCAGTGCCTAGAGCAGAGTTTACATAGTGGGGCTCAGATATTTGTTAAATAAGTGCATGGTACAGTAACTGAAAGCTGTTAGTATAATGCTTGCTTAAAATACTCAAGCAAAGCCGGGCGTGGTGGTGCATGCCTTTAATCCCAGCACTCGGGAGGCAGAGGCAGGCGGATCTCTGTGAGTTCAAGGCCAGCCTGGTCTCCAAAGCGAGTTCCAGGAAAGGCGCAAAGCTACACAGAGAAACCCTGTCTCGAAAAAAAAAAAAAAAAAAAAAAAAAATACTCAAGCAGTGGTAGACCTGCCGGGCCGTGGTGGCGCACGCCTTTAATCCCAGCACTTGGGAGGCAGAGCCAGGCAGATCTCTGAGATTGAGAGCAGCCTGGTCTGTATAGTGAGTTCTAGGACAGCCAGAGCTACACAGAGAAACCCTTTTTGGGGGGATGGAGGGGGAGAAATGGTAGTCGTGACCAGAGGAGATGGCTCAGAGTAAAGGCAGTTACTATCAAGCCTGATAACAACCCCGAGTTTGAGCCTCAGAACCCACGTGGTGGAAGGAGAGAATAGACTCTCCTGGGTTGTCCTCTGATTTCCACATGTGTGCCATGATGCATGTATGTGTGAGTGTGCGTGCACACACAAACAAATAAATCTACTAGGTGTTGTAGCACACACCTTTAACCCTAGCAGAGGTAGATGGGATCTCTTTGAATTACAGGCCAGCCTGGTCTACATGGTTCCAGGACAGCCAGGGCTACATAATAGAGAAACCCTGCCTCAAAGAAACCAAGGTTCAAGGGCAGCTTGGGATGCATGAGAACCTGTCTCAAAAACAACAACAAAAAGAATGTCCTCTGAGATGTGTTGGAATCAGACCTTACGGTAATGCAGAGCTCTGGATGCATCCAGCCAAGCCGTGACCCTGAAAGTTAGTATATCTGAGAGAAAATTTGGGCCTTGAGTTTTAAGTCATCTTTGTCTGTGTCCAAACTTGGTTATATTCCAGAAGAGTCTTCTGATTTGGCACTGCGGCTTCTCCCAAAGAATAAAGCGCGGACAGACAGAAGTAGCTGGGAGAGGGACCAGCGGGCCCCGGGATGACCTCTTTCTTTTCACATTCCTGCTTGTTGGTTGACCCACTTCATAAATCAGTTTCTTTCTACTGTCCAGCGGCTGGAAGTTTTAGACTGCAGTGTCTCTGAAGCCGTGCAGCCAGGCAGTGGGGCTGTGTTGAAGTCAGGCCACCGCACACCTTCAAGGGACTTCTTGTGGGGTGGTGGTTGTTGACAGGCGTTTTTTCTCAAATGCTTCTGCACGTTCTTTTGTGTCTCTCCAGTGGTTGTCTGTGTTCTTTGAAGATGTCTTTCCTCCTTCTCCTCCTCCTCCTCCTCCTCCTCCTCCTCCTCCTCCTCCTCCTCCTGTCTGATGCTGTGGAGCCCGCATCACCAGGAAAGCTGGCAGTGGGGCATGTGCCTAGGCTGCTGAGCAGTGTGGCACTGCGGGTGTGTGCTGAGATGCTGCTGTCCACAGGGTGATGACAGATGCCACAGGCAGAGGGATGGGAGGACTGACCTCCTGCAGCAGCAGGGAGGGCATGTGGTGACCTTTCTCCTAGAGAATGACAGAAGGGGCAGGGGATTCGAAGGCCTGTGGCATTTGAAGTGATGTGAAATGTCGCTGTGGTCAAATGATAAAAAGATGACAATGGAGAACATGGCTGGGACGGGCGTTCAGCCCTACCCAGACAAGGAGGGGGACGTGACCACTCTTGTCTATGTAGGATGGGACAAATTGCTATATCCTTAGTAGCACGTGAAGGAGCAGTTCTTTGGGAAATCGAGGTGTGTGTGTATGTACACACGTGTGTTCATGTGAGAGTGTGGGTGCACATACCTGTGGAAGTTAGGGAATGTTGGATGCTTTTTTTTTTTTTTTTCATTCTCCACCTTATCCCCTTGACACAGGGCCTCACTGATCCCCAGGCTTGTTATTTGGGGCTAAGCTAGCTGGTCAGTGAGCCCCTGGTACTGTCTACCTGTTTTATCCCCCCCCTCAGTGTTGTGGTTACAGGCACACATCCTGTGCCTAACTTTTGGAGTAGTTGCTCCCCACTTCCAGCTGACAGCAAGTGCTGTTCCCCGCAAAGCTGTCCCTCTAGCCCCGAAAGTGAGGGTTTGACAGTGAAAGGAAGGGGGAGTGGGCTGAGAGGTGGTTCAGTGAAGTGTCCGCTGTGCAGGCATGAGGGCTTGACTTTGGATCGCCAGTACCCATGTACAAGCCAAGTAGTATGTCACATACCTGTCATCCCAGTGCTGGGGGCTGAGGCCGATGGATCCCTGGAGTTCATTGGCCTGTTAGCCAAGCCAAGTGAATGAGCTCTAGGTTCAGTGTGAAACCCTGTCTCAAAAAGTAAGGTAGAGAACCATTAAAGAGGGAAGGAAGATACTGATATTGACCTCTGGCCTACACACACTCACTCTCTCTCTCTCTCTCACACATACACACACACACACACACACTCACTCGCATGGCACCTACATGTACATGTACACACATGATTGTATATGTTACTCTTTGGTATCTCTCCCCCCACCCCCATTAGCAGGAAAGGGGGTCAGCAAGACTTTGGTCTGGTTTGCCCCTCACTCTCACCCCAAGGGCTTATGATAGTATATAGGGTCCAAATCCATTCAGCTACGAACTGTGCCTGAAACAGGATAACACACACTATTTGGTCTATTTAGAACACTTTGTCACTTAGTGGAAAGGAT